TTAAGGGGGTGATGTAACGGGGTGAATCGTTACATAACAATTTATAAGAAATTGTTAATAGAATATAACTATAAGAGTTATATTCTCAGAATATTGTCATAAGGACAATATCCTGTAGCACTTCCAAGTAGTTCCTAATTGGTTGATATAGGCCATTATATCAACCAACGAAGACGCGCCACGACAGACGCACGCAATGAGTGGTGAGCAGATAACTGATTTACACATTTGTATTTAGACATAGTTAGATGAAGATAAATAGTGATTTATTGCAGACATTAACTATTATAAATACAGTTCTACTTTTTACTCTAACCGAGTACTCGCTTCTTCTTACCGTCTTCCTCTGCACGTACGAGTGTACGTGAAGTTACGAGGCACCGCCTTATTCTGTTATCAGAATAAGTAGCTTGTACTGTCACCAGTACAAGCTTCAGGGTGCCCCGTTACAGCAATCAAACCTTAAAGCCTTGTCTGACTGACTTCTACATTGCGATACAATGACGGAAGTCTTATCCCTCATCCTTACTCGATAGTGTGGTGTTACCGTAAGTACGTGGTACCAAGACTGTACCATTAAGATCCACCGATCTTGACTTGGTGAGGACACACAAAATAACCGGTTCAATAATCGCGTGTAATCCCGGTACTTTTTCCGTTACGTTTATACTTTCGAGAATTATCAAATTTTATGGTACTATTTTAGTTAACAAGTACCAAGGTTAATTACACGTAACAGGCTCACCCCCGTCACAGTATATGCCTCTTGTGTCTCCAGTACGAAGGTCTGTAGGTCTTGTGATGACGTTCTTGACTGGTGATTTTATTCAAAATCAGGACAATCGATCGGATCTAATGAGATTCTATTTTGAGTATGCAAATGCATCCTGAACTCAATACGGACCCTGGATTAAGCTTTGATCGACTTTTATTCGGTGGTGGTTCGAATCGGTCAAGAACACGGGGAAAATGATAATGCTCGTCGTTCTTATCTGGACGACGTTACACGCCAAAAGCAACAAACCATGACAAAAAAACATACGAATGGCTACAATATCACATAGGTGGGATGAACAAAATGTGCATAACCGCCAAAACAAGCGATTGCGTTAGAATGATGTCGAGTAGGAAGTCTCATTCGCTGTACGAGATGTTACGCAGCTACGAAAAAGCACCAACACACCATAACACTCTTGTGTAAAAGAAGCGATTTACAGTGAGATCCGCTCTAACATGCAAAATCACACTGGAATTAGGTTAAACAACCACGTGACGTGAGTTTATCGAGTGCAAGTGGGCATTTGCTTGCAAGTACTATGAAAATGGACATGTTGGAAGTCACAAAGCAAGTTTGGTTGCTCAAGGTTCTCACAGACCAAAGGGATTATTTCCAAACCTACTCTCCTGTTGCCAGTACCAACTCTGTAAGCATTGCCAGCAATTCGTTGCGCAAGAATCTACAAGATTCGACAAGTCGATGTCGAGACAGCCTTACTGAACTGTGATTTGGAATATGAGGCCATCATGAAAGTCCCTCATGGTGTACAAGCAGAACCAGAAATGGTTTTTGAGCTACGACGCAGTCTTCATGGGTTGTAGCAAGCTGTGGATGTTTGTTAAAAGACTATTCGTGCCATCTTTGCGGCGTTGAATTAAATTTGAAGTCGTGCGGGCCCCTGTGTGTTTTTGTGTCGTTCTGGTCAATGTGCAGAAGGATGCTGTGTTAACATCAAACTGTAGATGATCTTTATGTCGGGTGCGAGCATGACGAAGTAGCTGAAAAAATCGTTCGCGAGTTAAGCGCCCATTTTTGCTGTAGTCGCTTGGTGCCGCGCGCTTTGTGTTATGGATGGAGATTAATTACAGTATTGACCAGGTACAACTTCATTTTGGAAAGAGCAGTTCATTTTCAAGATGGTGACCGAGTTTAATTTTGTTGAAGCTCATGCTGTGCAAATTCTATTAATGCTTGGTCCAGACCTCGCGTAAGATAAATCGCATGATATCCTTGACGATGATACATCGTATCGTGAGGCTTGTAAGATCTATCTTGTATGTTGCTAACGCAACTCGCCCAAACATCAGTTATTCGTTATCAATACTGTCGCAGTACGTCGACATCCCTCGTGCAGTGCATTGGTGGACATAAAATAGAGTGTCGTGTTATCTAACATGCACTTAAGACCATGGAATCAAGTACTCCAGATTCACGAGCTATGGAGCAGCTTTGAATGCGTATGCGACGCAAATTGGGGTGGTGGCAAGCATACTCGTCCATCAACTTCTGGTGTATTGACTTTCTCTAGCGGTGATCCAGTGATATACTGAAGCAAGCGTCAGTCCTCGGTGGCACTATCATCGGCAGATGCTGAATACATGGCACTAGCCTTGCCCACGTATGATTTGCTTGGCTTCGGTATATGCTTCAATAGCTTGGACTCCAATCATATTGTGCAACAAAAATCATGATGGATAACAAGTTGGTAATTAGCATGGTGACGAACTTGGGTTACACACCTCATGCAAAACACACTGATCTGCGGGCTCATTTTGTGCATGATCATGTGGAGAGTGGAAACACAAGTCTTTCATACTTACCATCTGAAGACCAATCAGCGAACTTCTTGACCAAGGCTACTCCGACACCGCACTTTACGCAACTACGCGAGCTCAGCAACATTTTTCCGTACACCAATTTTTGAGGGAGTGTAACAAGATGGTGTTGCGTACAACATTATCATATATCTATTAGGCATATGCGCGCTGACTAAATGCGAACTCAACTGGCAGACGACAATGGTAGCACGAATGGTTGGTACACCAAGGTTGCAGTTGTGTGAGCTTCTAAATACTGACATCCAGAAGCTAGTATACATAAACATGTTTGCAGTACTACAACAAGAAGGTGGGACCGACAAAGAAAGCTAAACGATAACTCACTTTTCATTTTGTGCTGCAGAAGACAAGCGGGTATCTAAGTGCTACATCTCTAGCATCTGCACTGTGCCTAAAATATCTACAATGCTCAGTAAATGATGCACCTGTCGCAGAAGTGGCCACTTGCTGCCAAACCGCCCATCCACTTCAGCCACATTTTACCTTTCCGCCGACGACCACGACCACGTTATGAAGCTCTTGAGCAGTCGACCGCCATGAAGAGCCGCAACCGATCTCCATGACTGTCGCCATATAAAACGACACGGACAGCTCCCTATCGCCGGTCTAACGACCTTTTCTTTGATCACGACGGCGCCGACGCCGTCTGGATCCTGGCCAACTTCTCGCTGCGGGAATTCAGCACTCTTTATTCCACAATTGTTGACCACGTGACGCACCATCGGAACGACCTTCCAAGTCAAACAGATGCTGTAACGGGGCACGATTTGTTTGGGGTGCCACGAAACTTCACGTACACTAGTACGTGCAGAGGAAGCTAGTCTACTTGAACTACTCGTTTAAGTAAAGGTAAAAAGAAAACTGTATTTAATATGGTTGAGCTATCAATATAACTCCAGTCTTTATCTAACTACATTAATCTACATTGTCGTATGACGACAACCTGCTCACCACTCATTAAGCGCGTCTAGCAGCGATTGGTGGTATCTATGGTTGATGTGTCTTTTATCAACCAATCTTTGAGCAGCGCATGAATATTATCCTACTAAGGGGATAATATTCCTTCAGTTCTATCCATCTCGGATAATACTGGCGGGGAATTGTCACGCTAGACAATCTTCCCATTGACACCATTTGGTGTCAATTTCATGTAACGGGCTACCCCGTTACAAATGCGACTTCTTTTAGTAATTGGATTAACTACCACCATGCTCGCCTTCACTTGAGTTTGAAAAATTCTTCTCCACTTTACGCAGTGATTTAGATTTGCAGACGTATTCTTTCAAGTTGCAAAGCAGTTTTGAACCTTATTAGTAAATCAAAATTCTCACCTCTTTTAAATTGACTGTGTCACTTCCAAAGCAACAAAGCTGCTGCCTTTCGGATCACTTCCCTGGCCTTTAACGCGATTCGTTACATATGCTTATCGTCAGTACTTCCAAAGGTACACACTTGGCGCATCTTGAGTCGTCTTGCATTTGCAATGCTACTCAAAACAGTCCAATAATCATCCGCAGTGCTGACGACACATCGTCAGCTTGAATTGACGTCGTTCTGTTTAGAATTTATCCTTCGTCCGATTGTAGGCCGACAACGAGGTCTGTTTTGCAAGCTGAGACCCGTCCAATGTCCAATGAGCGAACGAAGTGTTGTGGTACCTACAACCTATCAAATAGCAGGTCACAATCTTCAGAAACAAGCGTTCATGCCGTAGAAAACACTACGTCCTGCTGTTCAAAGTCACATTTGCTGCAAAACAAAAAGGTGGTGCTCGATGACAATTTGCGCTAGTGCGATTGCTCAAGTGAAGTAGTGCGCGGAAGTGCACATGAGCGATGTGTCGACCAGTAATGCCGGTGGGCGTTTCGATTTCGGTGACGATGTGCTGTTCACTTTGCATAATGCAAGAGAGGGTCAGTGCATTTGTGAGTCAAGCATCGCAAAAGCGAAGCGTAACACAAAGCTACAAAAGCCATAGCTCTTTTCGTCCGAGTGATGATGAGCCCACAGTTTTTTATCTTACGCAGACACAACTTTCACCGAGAAACACACGGTAAACAATCGGTGACGGTCGACATGATCTCGAAAACTACATCCACTCGAATGTTGTGGTCATACAAGAAGATGTTGCAGACTACATTGCTACATCTCAGCATGCAATACATGCGCTTGAGTTGCGTTTGTTAGCAGGTGCCACTATAAGACGTCTGATATTAATGTAAGCGAGTGAGTCGTCTGTCAGCCATAATCTTGGAGCACCAAGCGAGATGAGCAAGACCTGTACTAACTAATACTAAACGACATGCGTATGATATCGACTCTCCCGACGGCGACCACCACACTCCGTTTTGTCATCATCCTGCTAGAAAGGGCCGACCACGAGCATGTACAATGGCACGCCTCGGGACCATGGGGAAAAGGTGCGGCCTCTGTCTCCTCCTTTTCTCGTTGCTCTTTCTGACGTCCTCTTCTTTCTTGTGATTGATAGAAACGACAGCGGCTGACCAATGAATTGTGGATGGAAGCTATCATGAATAAGGGTAAGACACCCGAGGGCTTTACCTCCACGTCAACCCTCACGCCACGAGCAGTACCGACCACTGTCGCATCCCCAGCTGTGGAAAGAGAAGGAGTACTGAATGTGACGCCCACTTGGGGTGTACCGACGCCCCAGACGTCGATGGCTCAGCAGCAGTACGTGAAGGGGTATCAGGAGAGACCAACTGAGCGCCTCCAAAACCGCTTCCAGGGGCGAAAAACGGAGAGCTTTTCACAACAAGTGCGTGGAATGCCAACGGAGATAGTTTCACCTCATCAGAAGAGGATGGTGAATGTTTCAGGAGCTCCGGGATATGCAGTAAGAGCTGATGCAGTAGCGGGATATCACGGAAGACCCGCAGACACTTCCAGTCCATTCCCGCATCAGAACGTAAAACTATTGACAATGGATTATCAATCAAGAACAGAGGACGGTGCTACAGTTGACCAAAGGCGCCCGGTAGATGAAGCTGTAGCGGATCACTATAGACTCAGAGACGGAGCCGCGTCCGAATGTCAAGGAAAACCCACGAATGAACCCGCACGTCATCAAGAGAGGACATCAGGCATAGCTTATGAACCCGGGAAATTCGGTCAAGACCCTACAAGTTACCAAAGTGGGCTGCATCAGGGAAGGGTGACAGGAGGAAAGCTCGGTAAAATGGCTGAGGATTACAAGAAAGACCGGAAATTACCCCCGAGGGTGGAGGAGATGCTGAGAGAGCAGGTGAATCTGGACGAGTCTGCGCTACACGATGCATTTGCGGTAGCAATGGAGGATTTAATTCTGGAGCATGAAGCTAACTTCGTGGCAAAGGGAGTGTGCCACTTATGTGTGAGTAAGGTCTACCTGCCTGTCGTGAATTTCTGCCCATATGCAGACGAGAACCACTCGCTGTGTCGAGAACATCTTCGCAGCGTTTACAGGGTGCGTATGGAAGCGTTGTTCGTGGGCAGGAACGGGTCTGCACCCAATCGCCGCTTGCTGCGCTGTTTGGCGTGTACGCGTGGATGTCCATGTAACTTGTGCAGAGCAGAGAAGGAGAAAGATATCCGGAATTACAAGCGGTATCTTCTCGACACGCTGCGTCGATGTGGACACAGTTCGGAGAGCGCAGTGAGGGACGATCGAGCTACTGCTGCAATTGCTCCACCAGCACCTGAGCGGCGGTCAACGTTTGGTGTTGCTCAAAGTTTGGGCAAGACCGACGGCCACCGATACACGCAGTATGTGCCCGCACCCCTGCTAAAAAGTTGTTCCTCTGTTCAAGACGATAGTTTCCCCACTCGGGGTTCGCTGACAGAAGCTGCGGATGAAGCACGTAGTCCAATGGAGATCCAGCAGTCCGAGTCTAATCGGTGCCAAGTACGTGGTCAATACGGTCGTGACGGTTGCGTGTCCAATGCAGAAGTCTCTAGTATGCCTGCTTCCAGCACACATGCCTCTAGCTTGCAGATTTCCAGTATGCGAACCACTGGTCTGCCAGCTTCTGGCAAGCCAAAATCGAGCGTGCAGGTTTCCGGCATTCATGCACCACAACTCCATTCGACTCAGCACTTTTTATTTCGACAAGTGATGCTAGCAGTATGCGTCCCGGTAATGTCTCCGTAACGGCAGACGGTGACCAAGGTACAGGTCATCGGGCTGCAGCCCGAGCCGCCCCATCGCGTATTCACCAACGCTCGATGAAATCGCCAACAGCTGCTACTGTTCTGAATTGCTCGGAGTCGGAGAAGTCTCTAGTTCAGCTGTTAAGCTCGTTGAATCAAGGAAGAGCCCCCGTAAACTCTGTGGCTGCTGATGTCCAAAGTGTGGATAGTAGTTACCGTCAGAATGTTTCAGGCTCGAACGGAAAAGTAGCCGAGAGTGGATGTAGTGGAGGTCCTGGCAACACCAAGACAGAAGCGTCGTTCCAAGTTGATTCTGGTCGTGGCATACTGGACAATGACTACCAACCAGAACGTCCATCCCGCGATCAAGCATTTGTTTGCTCAACGGCCGCGGTTGACAGCTCGCCTCGTGATCGCTCGAACGTTGATGATCGGTCTATTGAAGTGAGTAAACTACGAAAGCGAAAATCTGGTGAGAACGACGCTGAGAATGGGCTAACGGCACGTGGTCTACCTAACATGGCGTCTCGAGACGCCTTCAGGGCAGTGTATCGTGATGATAGCGCTGCGAGTCAACAACATGTTGCTGGTCAGCGTCAACAACAGACAGGGACGAGGCCATCCTTGAAGCCGGGCGACTGCGATAAGGATACCGCTTCCAAGATTGAGTTGAAAAAGAACCATTCGTCACAGAGACTACCACCGGCCCATCGTAGACCAGGGCGTCCGCGCAAAGCACCTTCTGATGAGACTGCTGCAACGGTGCTAACTCCACAAACGGAGAGAAAAGGGCATCAAGATCGTAGAAGTACCACCCCTAGTAAAAGGGGAAGAGGTCGGCCCCCCAAACGCGGCAAGCGAGCAAAAGGTAATGGCGAAGAGACAACAGGCGACAACTATAACGAAGAGCAGGAAGGGGGGGATGGCAAAGATGAGGATGGCGCGGAAAGCGAACTAGACGCAAATCTGGACTATTGTGAGGTTTGTGAAGGTCCTGGCGACTTAGTTTGCTGTGATAAGTGCCCGCGTTCTTTCCACCTGAAGTGCCTGCACATGACGGAGACTGATCTCCCCGAAGGCGATTGGCAATGCAGTGAGTGCAAGAGACCGTCGCGCTTCGACGCATATTCTGTGACGGTGGCTTCCGAAAAAACTATGCAGGATAAGTGCCTGAAGATTGTTCAGTGCTTGAAGTCGCATCCGTTCTCAAAGCAGTTCCTCTCCCCTGTGGAAAACATCCCGATGTATACGCGCGTGGTGAAGCAACCGATGGACTTGTCTACAATTGAGAACAAGCTGAAGAAGGGTGCGTACGTTTTGGATAGCAACACTCTAGCGAATGGCGTCAAAGAGTTGGATGCGACGCATTTTGCCAACGATGTTCGACTGATGTGGTCAAATTGCAAGCTTTTTAATGATGATGGATCAGGCATCACGCGGGCAGCCGATATTTTGTCAGTTGGCTTTGAACGTCTGTACAAGGAATCCACCGCACCACCACTGACAGCACAAGATGGATGTTGATTGAAAGCTCGATGAAGTTGGTGAGCCACTTTAACGTGACCATTGCACGAAAGAGTTTGTATGTCATTTATGAAATTGGTATCGAAGTAAAACGCTGATGAAGCCGGAGGTGCTAAAGCGCGAGCATGCGATCAGCTATTGTTGCTTGGTAACATTATGCTTGTACTGTGGACTGGAAACGCCGAGATGATTCCTGCTGACGATCCGACACCCACGAAAGAAGAGAAGCTTGTTTGGAACTGACAAGCCAACATGTATCGCTTTAAAGAGCATCAATATGACCGCAGCTTGTTTTGCGTTGAGGCCACCGACGACAGAACGCATGTTTTGAGCATCAAAGTCAAGCCACCCGACGAATCGTTCGTCAGCGTAAAATCCTCGCGGCTGGAACGAGTTCGTGGCGGTGCTTCAGGTCAGTGTAAGACACTGGACAGCCCTGCAGTGAAGAAAAGCAGCTCCTTACGATTTGCGAACTATTTTTTGCTAAAAAATGACGTAAGCGATTTCATCCCCGAGCGATCCACGTTATCCAGCTTGCTCTTCTTCTTGATACTGGCAGCACCAATAGATGTCGGGCGCTTCACTGCATTTTCTGGCATTCGACGTCGGTCGAAGCGCTGGAATGACTCCATCGGTCCGGCTGCAGCCTTGGCAACATTCTTGACCTCCTCTTCCCTCTCGACCCTATCAGCACCAATACATCTTAGTACACCAAGACAAGCTCGTCATCCACCACCCCACCGACGTACCTGAACTCGCTGCAAAGCACGTCGGTCCATTCGTTCGCGAGGTAGTTACCTACCACGTCAATCGCATGTCGATAGTGTCGAGCAACATCTGCCTTCTCGTCCTGTACCTTTTCCGCCTGGATCTTCTTGTCCACACAACTGTGTCCAATTACATTCACCTGGTCGGTAAACGCTGCCGCAGTCGAAGCCTTCGCGGCTGCATCTTGCTCCTGTTTCAACAGCACGCTGGCCACTCTCTCCACCTTCGTCCGCAGCCACGACGTCACCTTGTTCTCATTGACCTTCACACAGAGGTTGTCCACTTCCCTCATCTCCTGCCATCTCCTGGACGTCACAAATGCACTCAATCACTTGCCGCAACGTCAAAAGTTGCAGCAACCACGTGTTGCCTGCTGTCGCTAGTAGGTCATAAACGGACGAAAACCTTGCGCGCTGAGGCCACGCAGCATCCAGCAGCACGAAAAGTGCATCCACAGGTGAGAAGACCATCACTCCGCCATCCTGAAGCACGGCGTTGCCCACAAACCAGCTGCGCGCGCCATCCACGGGTTGCAAGCGCTGGAGCTCCAACAGCTTTTGCTTGTCCTTGTCCAGAGCCAATTGCCGTGTGCGGGTCATCGAACCGGTCGAGCGAGACGTCCAAAGCACGACGGACAGGAGTGGGGCATCGGTTGTGTCTGGATGGAAGCGCCCGAAGTCAGTACTTGACGGCAGTCCCGACGGCACGAGTGCGAGGAGCTTGCGGGTCATTTGAAACGCGTGATCCCGCGACGCACCTTTGACGGTCGTTGGAGCGATATTATACTACAGAGGTGATGGATATGTAGAGGTGTGCCAGCCTTGTATCAAGTTAAAGATTCCATGTAGTGATAGAGGTCGATTCATCATGTCGATGAATCCTAGCTCGACTGGTTTGCGAGCCAACGCGATTTGTGAAAAGCGGGGAATCGAATGGGAAAGAAAGCAGCCGCAGCAGCCGCAAGTTCGAACATCCAGCGTTCCATCACGTCATTTTTTGGTGGAACGACAGCGTCCACTTCGAAAGGAACGAAGCGCCAAGCCGCAGCTGAGAAAGAAGTCGAGGAAGTCGCGGAACCGTTGGCCAAGTCGGTGAAAAAGCGAAAAACTGATTGTACTGGCGAAAAAGATGCGAAAACTGGTAGAAGCGACGAAAAAGTAGGTATAAGCGACGAAAAAGATGGATTTAACGATGTAAAAGCGAGCGAGGCCACAGACGAAGTTGAAGATAACAAACCGGCTAGCAAAAGCACGACGAAACGTACGTGGCTTTCTATCGTGTGTAGAGCAAACTGACTGTGTGCAGTATAAGCGTGAGGAAGGTGACGTACTTCTTTCTGATGCTGTTGTACAGCTGGTCGTCGTCGTCTGCGACAACGCGACGTGAAGGATGAGGAAGAAGAGAGTGACGTGGACATGCCACTGGGCGTAATGGACTCGAGGCGGGAGGCAGACGAGGTGATTGACATGACAAAGTCACCGGTGGCGCTGGAAAAAGTCGAAACCTGTGACGAGAAAACGGTGGAAACGCTGGCAAATGTCGAGAAGAAGGGGAAGAGGACCGTAAAGAAGGAAACGGAGATTAAGAAGAATGAAGTAGTGACGTTGTCCAGTCTGGAGAATAAAGACGTGCACAAGGCGGTGGGCGGTGACGTGCACGAAATTGGATTTGTGGCAGACGCTGGAAACGATGAGGGCAAGAAAGACACTGCAGCGTCATCGAAGACTGCTGCCCTTATAGCTATTAAAAGCGAAACGAGCGAGATTCAAGTAGACTCAAGTGCTGACTTAAAGCCGTTGGCGAATGCGAGTGGAGAAAGTAAAGAAACGAAAGCAGAGAGCGACGGACGCCGTGAGACTCCGTACTTTGCTCTCGCGCATCTGTTTGCCAAAATCGAAGAAGTCTCCGGCCGCCTCGTTATCCAGGATCTGCTGACGGCATTCTTCCGCGATGTCATTTGCCGCGCTCCAGATGATTTGTTGGCGTGCATCTATCTGTGCGTATGTGTGGACCTGGCCCCGCCCTTCGAAAACCTGAAAATTGGTATCGGCGACGCTATTCTGATGAAAGCTATCGGCGAGGCCACGGGCGCAAATGCCAAATTTATCAAAGAGATGTACCACAAGGAAGGCGATCTGGGCAAGGTAGCACAGAATGCGCGCTCGAAGCAAAAGACGCTGTCGTTTGCGTCTCTCACACCGGCTACGTCTAAATGTAGCGACCTCACCGTATGTTATGTGTACAACCAGTTCGTGAAGATTGCGAAGATGACTGGCAATAATTCTCAACAGCAAAAGTGCTCGATTATCAAGGGCTTGCTAGTAAAATGTGAGAAGGAAAAGACGTCCCGAGACAAGGATGCACAGTCAGCTGAAGGAGCAAAGTACATTATTCGTGGACTGCAGGGTAAGCTTCGTATTGGACTGGCAGAAAAGTCGATTTTAATGGGCTTGACATACGCGTTCATGACGGACGAGGATTACAAAGATAAAGATAAACAACAGGAGGCTTTGACATTCGTCAAGAAGGCTTTTGCAGAATGTCCAAGCTACAACGCGTTGGTTGCAGCGTTTTATGGTGTTCAAAAAGTGGTCCCTTCCGCCCCTTTCCTTCGCGCGAAAGACTTTGCACTGGTTGCCGAAAAGTGTGTACTGACACCAGGCACACCAGTGTCTCCCATGCTTGCTCGTCCAACTAAGGCGTACGCTATGGTGTTCGATCGCTTTGAAGGTAAGCCGTTTACGTGTGAATACAAGTATGATGGTGAGCGCGCGCAGATACACATCCTTTCGAACGGAAAAATGGCGATATTCTCGCGCAACTTCGAGAACTCTACCGAGCGATTTCCTGACGTCGATTTAGCCGTCTCAAAAGCTGCTAAAAAAGGTGTCGTTGAAAGCTGCATCGTTGACGCTGAGGTGGTTGCCGTTGATCGTGCTACGAACAAGCGCCTACCTTTCCAGATTCTGAGCACGCGTTCTCGTAAGGTATGTCACTATGTCTAATCGCTGAGTGTCATCAAGCATGTCTTTGACATTTCTTGCATGTTGTGAATGCAGAACGTGAAAATCGAAGATATAAAAGTTCCTGTGTGTATCTATGCGTTTGACTTGCTGTTTCTCAACGGAGAGTCACTCCTCAGCACCCCGCTGGCAAATCGCCGTGGTAAACTGCGCGAATTGTTTGAAGTGAATCCTGGCACGTTCGAATTCGCCACGTCGTTCGACGTTGTGGATGGTGTTGATGCAAAAGACAACCCCGAGGCAATGGAAGAAGCTGTGGACAAGGTCCGCCATTTCCTGGAGGAGGCCGTGCGGGAGAATTGCGAAGGTTTGATGGTGAAGACTCTCGAAAAGGAAGCTACGTACGAGCCTGCAAATCGTTCGCACAAGTGGTTAAAACTGAAGAAGGATTATCTTGACGGTATTGGTGACTCGACAGATCTAGTCCCGATCGGTGCATTCCATGGACGTGGCAAGCGCACTGGTGTGTACGGAGCATATTTGCTGGCATGTTATGATCCGGATACAGACATGTACCAGCCCATTACAAAGCTGGGGACGGGTCTGTCCGATGAAGTGCTTAAGAAGTTTTACGATCAATTGAAGGAGAGGGTCGTGGACAAACCTCCTAGTGACTATGCTGTTACCGACAGCTGTAAGCCTGACGTTTGGTTTGAAGCGAGCTGTGTGTGGGAAATTCTGGGTGCTGATCTATCCATTTCACCGAAGTACACAGCAGCGATCGGTCTAGTTGCCAAGGACAAGGGCATATCACTGCGCTTTCCTCGCTTCATCCGTATTCGTGATGACAAGGAGACGACTCAGGCGACTAACTCTTCACAGGTAAAGCTCAGTTTTTCCACCATGGCTAACATACACAACCGCGATCGACTGATTGCTCATTTTGCTTGGTGTGATTACAGATCGCCGATTTGTACCGAGCTCAAGGTCTTACGACCGTAACTGGTGAGGAGGAGGGTGAGGACGATGATATGCTTATCTAGGTGTGTCTTGAATTCGTCATCGCTAATGTTAGCTTCAGAACGTAATTGCGCTGTCACACCTGGTACGGTAAAGATGCCAAACTGCTCTGTTGATGTGGTTGTTTCACGTGTAACTTTTCGTCAGATCATTACTGATGTACTTTCAGTCGCCTTGGACATCAGGGTGAGTTAAGCAGCACGTGCTGTAAATATCGATGGAAAGGATGGTTGGATCGTTGGGTGAGATAGACCGCCCTCTCCACCGCGCAGGCCAAAGAGCGGGCGGATATGACCCGGCTGTGGTTTCCGGTAGACCTGAGCTAGGCACTTCGCTGTTGACCGGGGCACTCATACCGCCTTTCGAATGAGATTCGACCTGGGTGCCTAGTGTTTGCAGAATATTGTATGCAGCACACGAAAGTCGCCAGCATTCGTAGCGTCACAGTTGCAGAAGTGCGTGTAGCACTCTCGCCCTGAGACAGAGGCGTGCGCATCGGTCTGTTGAGGGTCAGATGCATCAAGTCCGACCCTACCAGGTGAACAGCAATGAGTGTTAAGCTCTGTAGTGTATGACCTCTTCAGCAGCTGCCAGCTCAACGTGCAATCACGACATGCAGATGACGTGCTTAGTGGTGATACTGTCTGCAAAGGTGAAGGCGGCAGATAACTCATGTCAAGCGAAGGTAGACTCGGACAGTGTCGAATCAGCGACTGACCTCTTCCAATCTTTGCAACGGTATCTGACGTTATCTGAGGTGCTGCTCCCGATTACACCTCAGCTGCTTGCAAAGCGAGGTCAAAGTCGAGGTAATAAAGTAGTAGTGACGTTGAAGCAAAACTTGATCAAAGCGAGTATGCACCTGATTGCTATAGTGGAGGAGGAGGACACAGCGATTACATAAAGCTCCACGAAAGCGTCGACCATTGAGTGTGAACAAATGAACCAGTAGTGCAGTAACGACTTGTCAAACTCATGCTGGTGCAGCTGGAGAGAAGCAAGCATAGGAAACACTGCTGCGCGGCATTTGCTAGTACAGTTATTGCAGCTGGAGACAGTCATCGATTGCTGGGCCTACTGCGAAGAAAACCGACAAATTGCTTTGGGCTCTCTCCGTGCTTAGAGACAGCAGGTAAAACGACAGGCAGCCAGAAAGTCAAGAGCCCATTGAAAGTGAATGCGGCGCAATGTTGGCGCTCAAGTTGTACCAAGGAAGTGAAGCGATGGTAACAGTGGCAGGTTTTAGCTGAGAACGGGGGCGACGACTACATTTACAACAAGAGGATTGTTCTGAGAGATCTTGAAGCGTCATCCATCAGCGTTGCGAATGGTGATACGAAGAGAGCTACCCGCAGTAGACGACAAAGTTTGTGGACGAACAGCAGACGGTAGGTGGAAGCGTATCGTTTTCGAAAATATACCGACAGAAGTGCTGCTTATCGCTGGTCCCAGTATCAAAGGCAAACAGCTCGAGATGGTCTCCTTAAAGCCGACGATGATAGCAGCGATTACTGGAGAGAGCGAATCAAAAGGATGAGACGGGTATGAAAAAGTGTGGCTTGCGCTGAACTTGAGCAGAATCTCAGGGGAAAGTGTCCAGTGCAGTAATGAGAAAGCTAGGCCACATGACGTTCAGCGAAGTCAAGACGACAAAGTCGATAGCATCGGTCCAAGGAATTGATGCGAGCTTAAGCCCGGGCCGAAGAGAACGCGATGACATGGACGACACTGCAGTCCTGGAAGCACTGAAGCGACACGATGTGCAATGTGAGCAAAAAGTCGTGCATCAAGCAGACAATCTACGAAACGTTACAGAATTGCACCATCAGCAACGGCAACACGCGTGCCGCTGGAGCGTCTAAATGTCAGTAAAATAATGGCGGACACTTTGGTACGTAGAACGTTAATGATAGGAAATTATGAAACACGCAGGACACATTTTTTTTGATCGTGTATTTGGTTCATTTGTTTCTCGGGAAACGAGGGCTCAGAAGTCTGATCGGTTCACTGATTTTCTCGTTCCTTTGAATTCGAGGCTCGACGATCGCCATTAGGCAAAAATGCTGCTGGGAATAGGGCGCTTTGTGTTCCTGTCGCTGACGGACGTGGCGACGCTGCCGGCGCTGGTCGTAATGAAGCGCAATCGTCGACATTTTGAGATGTTCGTGGGCGTCTCACAGCTCTTGATCTCCTTTTTCTTCAATACTGCGGAGGCGTTTGACACGCAGCTGTTCCTCGGAGAAGACGATTGGCATTTTCTATCGGACGTTGTGTCCGTCACCTATTTTCTGCTGCTCTGCGTACACCTGATGGGGTACAAGGATGAGAACCGGAACATCGTTCTGCGCTACGTGGCATTTGCTGGCTCGTTGCTCTTCAATACCAAGGACCGATGGGACTCGACGTTCTACGAAGAGATGCTCGTGGTCTGCTACCTGCTGGGAGTTGTCTACCGTCGAGTGTTTACCGTGAGCAATGACATTTCCCCCTGAACAGGAAACATGTTGTTTACGCGTTGTGTAGCCTTGCGGCAGCAGCGGTTGCAGCGATTGGTTCTCTCGACCTTGAAGACAAAGAGAGTCACGTGGCGTTGGGGGTCACCAAGGGCCTAATGCACGTGCTGGATTGTAAGAAGTAAGAATTAAGTAAAGTAAATGACTTGTATATTACCGCGCACCAGACGCGTTTCGGCCCCCCGCCGGGGGCCTCATCAGTGGTTTGTCAATCTACAAGTGAGAACTATCCATACGTCTAGCTGCTGTACGACCTATAATAATGCATAGAACCCTAAAGAACATTCTAGACATACCCTATCATGGGTCGAATCTCTGGAGTCGAATCCAGTGCATCATGCACTTACAACACTCCCTCGACGACATGAGATGCAGACCACTTTGGTATCGACCCGCCTGTAATCCTCACTGCTGCATCCGTGCACCATGGAAATCTTGATTGAGTCTTGCCCCTGCGCTCCAGCCAACCTCGATGATACCGAGCGTTCCAGGTATTCCAGCTCCCCCCATCGTCCAGCACCATGTCACATCTTGACATCTCGTAGTCGTCGTTCGCCTTGCATGTAGTTTCCACTTCTTCTTGACCACAAATACACTTGTCACCACTTGACTTGACTCTTCCTTCGATAGCACTCCGCGCATTCAGACCATCTCGCGTCACCACCCTTGCACAAACCCTTTTCGACTGCACGCGCACCGTCAACGATCCCTGTCGATGAATTCTTCGGCGCCTTACTCGTGCATCGAGCGCCTTCTCTGACGGGGTGTCCCTCGCACAAGTTGGTCCTTGGTGAGGTGTCTGCAGCGAGCATTTGGGCTCATAACCTGTAAGAAGTAAGAATTAAGTAAAGTAAATGACTTGTATATTACCGCGCACCAGACGCGTTTCGGCCCCCCGCCGGGGGCCTCATCAGTGGTTTGTCAATCTACAAGTGAGAACTATCCATACGTCTAGCTGCTGTACGACCTATAATAATGCATAGAACCCTAAAGAACATTCTAGACATACCCTATCATGGGTCGAATCTCTGGAGTCGAATCCAGTGCATCATGCACTTACAACATGGATGGTGCTGCGTTCTACTACGCTTGGCTCTCTGTGCCTTGTGTCAGCTCAAAGAACGATGAGGTCATCCCAACGAACAGCTTGTATGTGTAGTAAGCGAGTGCGTGCGCAGGTCCTTAGTATGCACTCAAAATCTTGGTGGCATAACGCAAGTATGGGACTGTTTGCTCCAGTAAATGATCTTAGGCTCATCTCACTTCTGCTATCAAAGCTAAAATAGCGGCGCGTGCTTTAACAGTGGCTGTAACGAGACGGGTTCATTCCATAACTGATATTGGGGCTCTGACGAAGGTTCTGACCCAGGGGTCATTGGTCTGGAGTCAGACCCCGACCTGCGACCCGGACCAGCCGCATCAGGGCGGGCCCAATGGGCCCCCTGGTCCGTTTCGAATGTGTGTGCAGTCATTCCTCGAATAACTTGTATCCTCATATCTCATAGAACTCATACAATTGCGCTCCACCATGCTCGTTTTAGGGCCGCTAACTCATAACCACCAGAAATTTATAAGTTTTCCGAGGGACAAACAATCATGCGAATACTTCTCAGCAAAAGAAATCATATTCCTGAATACGAATACACAAGAGATGGGGGATTAAGTGCCTGAGAGTACTAAACCAGTGAATAAAAGAATCCAGGGTGATCTAAGTGGTGGCGGCCATACGAATGGACATTTGAAGTATCGTCCGCACAAGTCGTGAAGGCAATCGAGAGTCGTACCTGAATAAAAAGGAAGTGAACTGTTTTGAACAACATAGAAAAACCAATCTATGAACTTTCTAAGGAATCATGCAAGCTCTGAAATTCTCATTCGTGAGCCACTTAATCTCCTTCTGCGCAAACAACTTCTCTAAATCATGATGTAAACCTACCTAAGTCATGTTCGGTATTGTCGAACATTAGCCCAAATTGTGACTTCTCAACATTCTCACACATTAGTTACGTCCATGTTGAAAACAGCTTTGGGATTATGGAGAGCAAGCTACAGCCCGAAGTACAGCCACTGCTGCATCTGTAGCTTCCCCGTTTCAGAACCACCCTCGCCGTAAATCCGGATGCGCAGCTTGTCGCGCTGCTCTATCGTTGCGATTATCCACTGGAGAGCTTGATGGTGTCCTCAAGTAGGCTAACGCGTCCAAAAAACAACCGGCCGTGACCTCGATATTTTACCAATCAGAATAACATTTCCGGTTTGGCATTTGAGCAACCAAGTTGACCGGTCTTCCTCCGGATTGGATTCTGAGAGACTCTCAGGCGTTTGGTGGAACGATCGTAATCGGTCATAGATTCTAGGTCAGTGAACTTCTTGATTGTATGAGAGATGGCGTCCCTGGGTGATTTAAACTCCAAATTTACTCGTAGCTCAAATCTCCAGACGCTTTGGCTCCTTTTCATATTCTTGGTCTTGTGCTTGCAAACCTCCAGCCTTTGTGCATCGGTGACAGAACTTGGGACGTAGTGATATCGGAGTAAAAGGAATGATCATTCACACAGGCGCTAATTCATGAACACTTCTCTGCAGCACCGACGATGTAGTAATGCTGAGACGATGTTTAAGAAATCTTGATATCACACTCAAAAACGTCGATTGTTAAACGTGTAGTTTAATTATGAGCACGATCCTTGCAGGCACCTTCTTCTCCATGTTCGCTGACAAAATAAACTCATCCGTCTCAGTATACCAAAGTCCGTTCGACATGGGTTACACATTCATCTTTACGCCTAGAACGTGTAACTGGTCTCGTTAAGCGATTCCAAGGTGAACACGGAGTTGACGCTTCGACCCGTAACCTGTTAAGAGGTAGCGTAGAAGGCGAAGATCGTACTTGTGGCTGAAGCTGTAAAAGTATAAGTAAATGTTGTCACGTGTCTAAGCTTTCTAGCCACTTCTTACGCTTTTCGTGTGTAGTGAACCATTCACTATCCATCAGCTCAATCATTACTATTACTAATCTTTTCCTCTCCGATGTGGCGTCTTCTCTCTTTATCTGTGATGGGCTACCACCATGAAACTTGGGGAACGTCAATTCCTGGCAGGACAGTGCCGGTGAACCTAACATACCAGGACCCGAAGGTGTAAGTTTATCATTTTCTCTCTCTAACTCTCGAACCAGCGATCACTGATTTGATCATGCCACACCAATCCACTCGCACTACGATCGTACTTCGATATCGAATAAAATTAAGCCGGACTACAACGTAGCACAGACGCACACTTTTTGTACAGCCGCGTCACCTCCAACCAACTAAACGCAGCAACACTTTTTCTAGCTTTCCAATTGTTTCTAAAAACTTGAACGGTGTGAAATGTATGGAGGCGGATGATAAACATGTCAAATTTGCGTGAGGGTCATGCCCACACCACTGACTTACACACCAGCCCTAAAATTACCAATTTCCGACGAAGATATCGATTAATTATGGGAGTTGTTTGCCCAAAACCAAGATTGGTCACTACATTCCAATAGAAACGGAACTGGTGGATCAACACCTTATCATGTATATAGCATTATATCATGTATCCCAGGGATTACATTATCCAGGTTAACCTTTGTACGATATCAAACAATTAAAAATGTATACAGATGCCTTGAAATCTCGCGAATACCGCTGAGCATAGTAATCTGAGTGCAATGATATATCTAGCACAAGACAATGAAGAATTCGATAAAATACAGTAGGCTTTTATGAGGTGTACGAATGTCCTTTTAAAATATAAATGGGCTAAATCAAAGTTCTTCATCTATTGTGCGTGTACATTAACGGCTGGACTCGTCGCTTAGTTAAATGGCTCGAGTAAAAAATAAATAAAATCTGTCCGACAAATACTCTTCTTGGAACAGATTAAACTATTTATTTCTGATAAAACATTTCGTTTAAAGCGATTTTTTATCTTCATATAATGAGCTCTCACGTTACATGAGGTCTCGTTTTTAAATATTGGATCAATTCACTAGATCGGTGTCTTGCACCGATCGCATCCCCTCATGTATAATATTCTTGTCAGAGACAAATGTACTCGCAATAGTAACTTCGCCAAAGGTTAAATCTACATCATCATTTTCTTGTCCAACTCACTTTTGGTCACCAACAAACCACATTTTTAGCTATAGACTTTAGTATATTATCTAATGCATCATCAGCATAGTGCAGATTCTGTGCCTATACCACCTCATGTACATTTTGAATCTGCTGAACCGCTTGTAGAAGCTCGCTCCTTCTTGATGTCAACTGCAACGGGGTGCCTCTGTTACATGATAATTTACATAAGGTAATTCCTTAAGTATAAATGTTATGTTAGGACAAACACAAAATTCTCACAATATTATCCTAATAGATAACGTTGCTTCGCAGATGTAGTTATCCAAAGGGTAGTTTATTGCTTCGAAGATGTAATAAACTGCCCTTTGGTTAATGTAGGGGAGTTCACCGACCACATCAATTATCACAGATAAATTTGGGATTGTATATCACAAATACAAGGTAGATCCATTCAGGGCGATAACGGTCGCGTGACCCCGTTACAAACGCGCTGGAGCAGCGATCTGAAGCAGGGAAAGTTGTCGAGCGCAACGAAAAAAACGAATCGTTACCGGTCGTGCCTCCCGAAGATCAATGTCTTCATCACGACGCAGCATCGCAACGGTATCGGCGGACCAGAACAAGAGGCATGCTGAGCGACGTCAACATTCGATCGCGAGCGACAACAGAGAGGCCACGACGAGCTCGTGCGCATCATCTAAACAATCTTAGCAAGCAGATGAGGCAACGTCAGCGGAAGCTGAGGAAAGCAGCTCGTCCGTATGGTCAAAGGAATAGAAGTAGCCATGGCAACGACAGTGTAACGGGGTTACACGCGGTTATTTGAACCGGTTATGTGGTGTGTCCACACCAAGTCAAGACTGGTGGATTTGAGTGGTACAGTCTTGGTACCACGTACTTACGGTAATACCGCACCTTATCGGGTAAGGATAAGGGATAAGACTTCTGTCATCGGATCGCAATGTAGAAGTCAGTCGCACAAGATTTTAGGGTTTAATTACCGTAGTTAAACAATAAATAAAGTTCAGGTCCTCTTTTGAATCGTTGGACACTAGTGCCTGGTCCAGCCATAGTGTGTTGTAAGAGTGTTAGCCTTGTGAAGGCGCTCCCTCTTTTTTTACTAGTAGTGACTAGTTAGTGTGTGATTATGTGAATCGTAATTCCTTTTAGAACCGGGATTGCTAGGCTTGTACGCTTGAACGACTGTACCTCGTCTTTAGTTTGTTAGAACAAAGAGACACTTTTGAATGTAAGACTTCCTCTGTTAAGGAGCGCTAAGTAGCCCCGCTACACTCGGTAGCACTTGTGTAAATCTATACCTGAGTCTGCACAGACTGGATCCTCTGCGAGTATGGAGACGATCATGAACCTCTCTGAGGCCCAGCAGATCACGCTTGAGAAGCTCACGGCGTTAATCGGATACGATCAAGTGGATCTTATAGCGTTGCAATGCGCGGATGCTCTTCGTGCACGTCCCGAGGCTTTTTCGAACTTTGAGTGCAGGTTGATCTGAAAGGTCCATGACCATTTAACGTCTGCCATGCCCACTCGGTATGTTCCTATACCGGACGCTAAGTCAAGGAATCGTCCTCTAGTCTTGAGTGTCAAGACTTTTGAGTGGAAAGAGGGAGAAAATCTCCTTTTGTGGGTTCGAGCGATGGAGGTTGCCATCATCTCGGCCTTGCTACGGTCAAAGCAGCAAAAAGAGGCCTGGTCCTATCAAAGTTAGTTGGGCGAGCCAGGAAGTGGGCGTTCACTTTTGGCACCTCTGGTAGAAGAGGCTTTTCTCACCTGGCAAAAGCAGCTATACCGGGTGTTTGCTCCGCCTTATCAGGCATATCGTGTGCGATCTCGCTTCATTTCAACCCGCAAGGTGAAATAGGAGTTATTCAATTATGTCCAAGAGCTGCAAACTCTAATTGCTGCTAAGCAACTTGGCCCTTTACCTGAGACGGTTTTGGTAATCACTTTCATGGAGGGTCTTTGCACTGGCCTTGCCACAACAAATGTGTTTCGTGCACAACCTTTGACATTTGAGGGTGCAGTGAGATTC